AACTACCCCTCCCTCTGGGGAGACATCTGCTGATAACAGGCTATTGAATGTCACTGCATGACTGATAAGGACTATAGCATCCCATTGTGAGATGCTCTGCCCAGAGGGAGGAGTCAAGCATTCCTACCTGGATACAATCTTGAGGTTCTGGAACACCAGCACAGCTTCTCCCCTGGATTTCCCAGAGGAACAGCTGCCTCTTCCACTGGATCTTCAGAGGAAGACTACACCCTTTCTACAGGATCCCTGTTCCAACAGAACCATGCCTGACACTCCAGGAGGGCTGCAGCCACAATTCCAATGGGACTGCTACCGACACCCTGACCAACAGGGTGTCAGGTTGCATTCTGACTCTGTCAGTGTTGTTTTGGCTTACTGCATTGTTTATCGTATCTTTTTATTTTCTTCCCTAATAAAGAACTATTTTCTGCTATTTCTGCTCCCATATTTTTGCCTGAGTGCCCCTTAATTTAAAATTTATAGCAATTTGGAGGGTGGGGGTTTACATTTTCCATTTCAAGAGAGGCTCCTGCCTTCCTTAGCAGACACCTGTCTTTCCAAACCAAGACATCAATGCTTGCTCTTGAACCAGCTGCAGAAAGCCAAGGCCAGACTCACTGTGCTGCATGAACTGAAAGAGTTCCACACATCCATGTGGCTCCCACCCACCAATCCACCTTGAAAGTCCTAGAAGTTGTTAAAATCACCTCCACTCTCTGTGCAGGCATCTGGAACAGCCTCGCCTGCAGATTTCCCTGAGAACCATGCATAGGGGAATGGAGAGGAACAAGAACAGGGCAATCCCTCAGCCAGAAGGAACACTTTGTGGGCTGTTTCCTTTTGGCAACAACTGGCATGGATCACTTCCCCAGGAAGCTGCTAAGGTTCCATGTGTTGAATTTTTTTTTCCATTTTCATTGTGTAGTGAGAGTGAAAGTGGTGGCATTTGGCAGCTACATTCCATCAGCACTATTGTTGTTCCCTGGTGGTAGGGATTTGTTTTCCATCAGGTGAAATGCAAAGGCGTTGTCCCCTTTTGGAAGAACACAGAGCTAAAGACACCCGTGGGGAAATACTTCCAAATGCCATGCACAACATTACTCTTTAAATTTCTTGGATGAGGTAACACTTCCCAACAAAACAATGCATTAGCACGCCATGTACATTTTGCTAAGCTGCTGCCCACAGTTGAAAGAAATCATTAATCCTGATGTTCAGATGCTACTGAAAGGAAAAAGCAAACTGGGGACCTCTGCAGAAGTCCTGTCTTTAGACTTTGTCTAAGCTGAATCACGTTTAAATCCAAAACTTTCTGGAAATAAAGAAGTATTTATGCTATTAATTATTTTACAAAACAATGCTAAACTATAATTTAAGTCTGTGAGGACTGCAAAACTGGTTAGCGCCTTGTAAGTGTAAGTATTGTTCTTGCCTGTTTTGGGCTAGTATCGTTCAATTCCTCAGATCTTAAAGTCCTTATTGCAAAAAGCCTCTTTATTCCCAGATCTAGTTGCTAGATTATGTGGTTTTCAGATAATGCTGAATTGAGGTTGCTAAATGAGAACCAGAAGGCTGGAGCTAAGCAGATAAATTATAATTTCCAATTACCTCACCATAAATGGGCTTTTCAAAGAATTCTTCTACCCTATTTTCACACAAAAAATACAGATCAGTGTCTTCACAGACTAAAGACACAAAAATCCCTGTTGAAATACACAATGACATTCTTCAACTTCTGGTAGAAATTAATGATGCAATATGTGTTTCCTTCCTTTTCTTAAGTGGTTAGTTGAAAATTACTTTAAAAAAATTGCAAGTTGGTTATACATTCACAAAATACCACAGAGAAGGACTTAAATCTTTGGGTTTGTGCTTTTTTTTTTTTTGCTAGTACATATTAATAGCTCACTGAGAAGCAATGATCCTTCTGAGGGAAATGAAGCCTCTGAAAAGATAACAACAAATCCTACCAAAGCAAGGTGAGTAAGAGAAGGGAAAGTTAGCCTGTAGCCACTTCTAACTCTATGAGACACACCAAAAAAAAAAAGCCCCAAAGCCCCAAAAGCTCTCAGGTTTTTTGTTGTTCTGTTTAAAAGACTTCTGTTTTTAAGTGGAGAAAGTAACCTTGAAATAACTCCATGTATGGACATGATTACTCCTGAGCAAGAAACACCATATTTCTGTCTAGCCTTGTAGTTTGTTCCAAAATAAGCATACCAACTTCAGAGTTACTCAGGGAAAGATAAATCCACACCTGACTTTATTCAACAGTAATTCCTAATTATAATGTCATAAACACACCAGGAATTTGAGGGTCCATGTAGGGGTCTTTTGGCTAAGAAATCCGTAAACTAGAGCTAGACTCAGCTATAATTAGGCCAATGTTTATCCCACTTTCCTATCAGTTAAAGCCTCCATAACTTAAGTTCATACATAGCCTGGGTGCTGCCCAAACTGCAGCTTTTAATGAAAAAGAAAAATAATAGAAAGGGGAAAATAAGGTCATTTTCCCTACCTATGACTAATATAATGCTGCATGTAGCTTAAGAGTTGCTCTGTAATGAGGACACACTCACTTGAATTATGCAGCTCAAGACAGCTATCTCCAAATTGGATGGCTTTACTGCATTGCTGGCTTGTAGCAATGCCAGTCAGATGCAGACAGGCAGACTTCTTAACCTTCTGTCTGAGAAGATTAAATCCTTAACCGTGTGTTTTCTTCTCCTCCCCTACTGACTCTTATTACCCCATCCTTTAAAATAAGTAACAAAAGAACCGTTAACAATCCACCTAATAGAGAAATTCTATTTTCTAGCATTTCTAATGTAATAAATAGGCTGGATCTCCAATGGTACAGAAACAAGTATCAGCTTACAAAGCTGACAAAACATGAGTAGGTAAACAAGATCCTCCATACCTTCATAAATAACAGGGCAAAGGACCAAATACCTCCCTCACGTGCAAGCTGGCCCTTACCAAACAGCTGTAAGGAATTCTTATGGTATGTAGGAACAAAAAATAAGGAATTCTTACAGCATGTACTGACATAAACATCTGAATTAACTAACCCCTGTGAGAGCGTGTAACTGCTACCACTTGGAAAAATGAGCAAGGTCAATCAGTCAAAAGACTTTATTTTTGTCTAGGATCAACTACTTTATATGGCTTTGCTATCAAATATAGAAACATTACCCCATCTACAAAGGCACTATTTTTAAAGATTGTGCTTTTGGAAGAAAATTATAATTGTTTTTTTCTTCTAAAAGATTATTCCAAATGTGTATTATTAAGATCTGAGGTACATCAGATGGGAAAAGGACTGACCAACCACATTCTAGACTGAACTACATATTGTTTAACTCCATTAATTTTGCCAGTTTTAACAAAGCAATGCAGAACTTTACTTTAAATTTACTTTTTAAATCTCAGAATTCTAGGATTATTTAGTAACTCTGGTTAAGCTGCTAGCCATAGTTAATTCCCTACATAAATTTTAAAAAACAGTTGAAAAATACTGTTCTAAAATAAGCCATGTCTAAAATGAGGCAGGAGATTCTTTTAGAAACTATGAGCAAACGTCTGATTAAGATGACAAGCCACATGGAAACTACTCCCAGAATCAGACTCAAAGGGCACTGTTACCAACCAAATTTGGCAGACAAGGAATCATGACAAACTGCAAAGGCACGCAGCAACGTAACAAAAAGTTCGGAATCATCAGCAAATAAGACAGAAAGCACTTGTGTCTACTCAGCAAGGGCAAGAACAGAAGCAGGACGAATTCTAAGCATTAAATTCTGGATTCAAATGAGTGGCACTGTGATACAGTGGGACTGGAGACGGCTGTTCCATTTACAGGTGACTGGCCATAAGCAAGCCGTATCAGTAAGGCAAAGTATCTGGCTATTGCAGATTTTTCATTCTGATTTCTATCTGTCCAGAGAGCTCATCTTCAGAATGGTTTTAATAGCAACAACAGAGAAAGAGCTAAAAGCATGACATATATAATGTAGGGCTCTATACTTTCCTAAATGCTGTGTTCAGGGTCGGAACACCTTCAGAGACTGCCTTACAGCATTTATCACTATCTGTAGATAACTACTATTAGATTTGGCATTTTTAATGCACAGCTATGCTTGTTTAAGATCACTGTGCCTTCAGACAGTCTGAGCTAAGAGGGTGATGACTGAAAATTCAGCTCAAGCAGGAAAGACAGCATTTATAGCTAATTTGTCAAATACCACAGGAAGCATAATTAAGTCTCATTTCTGTTTCCAGGAATATTCCGATGCAAGTACAGCTACATCAACTAGGGCAAGGGACCGTAAGAAATAAATTATACTTATCCTTTGCATCGATTGTATCTGTCAGAAGAATAACACCAAACAAACCTAGTCAGCGAACACACTGAGCTTCCTCAGAATAACAGAACCAATTTCTGAGCTCATTTGTGAAGTTTAAGCTCCTTTTTTTACCTAGCGCTGCACAATTTACCGAGCTGGAGATCGCGGCTGAACTGAACTCATTACGCACTTGGTCAAGCGCTGCTTCCCCGAGCCAGCTATTCTGCTGTGCACCCCGTTTGAGTCAGGAGCTCCAGCTACCGCGCAGGACACCCGGAGCCCTGCGCCGCGCCAGGGTCCAGGCGCTGCGGCGGCCACGGGAACGGCACAGCCGGGATGCGGCCGGGATGCGGGGGCGACGAGCGCTGTCAGGGGTTCTCTCCGTGACACGGGGACCGACCCGAGCGATCCCCGACCCCAGCCCCCCTCTCCGCCGCCGGCAGGGGCCGCAGGGTCCCCCTCAGCACCGACCCGCTCCCCTCCGTTCCCGCCGCAGCCCCGGCAGGTGCGGCCCGGCCCGGCCCGGCCCCCCGCGCCGCCGGGGCCGCTCCTCCCCTCGCCCCCGCCGCAGCCCCCGGCCCGCCCTCCCCGCGGCACGGCAGCGGGGGCCGGTGTGGAGGCGGGGGGCCGGGCGCAGCTCCTACCTGCCGTTCCTACCTGCGGCTCCTGCGGCGGCCGCCAGCGCCAGGCAGAGCGCGGGGAGCAGCGGCGGCGGCGCAGCGCGCATGGGAGCGGCCCGAGGGTGCGAGCGAGCGGCCCCGGCCCCCCCCGCCCCGCGGGAGCGCAGTGACGGGCCCGCCGCCCGGGGAGCATGACGGGAAATTCCTGGGCACCGGCGGCCAACGCCAAATATGAACATGGAGCCGGGAGACTCCCGCCGCACGCCCGGCACCACCCGGCAGCGCGGGGAGGCGGCGGGGACCCTGCCCCGTCCCGCCGCCGCGGCACGGCCGAAGCGCCCTATCCCGAAGGTGCGCTTCGGGCAGGCCGACGAAGCGGCTCCTCGCCCCTTTAAAGAGACGTTCCTGCAGTTCCAAGAGAGCCCCGGCCGGAGCGCTCGGGCCGAGCGGAGCCGGCGCTGCCGTGACCCTCAGCTGCCTGCGCGGCGCCGGCCGGGAGCGGGGATAACGCTGCCAGCGCCGCAGCGGCTCCGGCCCACGGCTCCCAGCCGGAGCCAGCCCCTCACGTTAGCACTGGCCCCGAAACTACCACAGCGCTCAATGCCCACCCTGCCTAGCTTCCAAAAACGATGGAACTGAACGACATTGAACTTCTTCGTCCTCCTGCTCCCCTTCCTCACGGGACGCGTATATGTAAATAATGGACTTACACACCCTCCAACCCCCCAAACCTTCAACCTGACACTAAAACAATTCTCAAACAACGCAAAATAACGGCAGGAAAAAAAGCCAACCTCTTCTGTTACTCTATCAAAATCCCTTTCATGACTCTTTCTACCTCAAAGCACAAGAGGCTGAAAGCACACGGTTAAGGCTTTTCAGCCCTGTCCTTTAACAGGGGAGACAACATGGCATGACTGAGGAAGCAACGTAATGTCTCTGCACTCCCTGTGTACAAAATCAGGACGAAAGTCAAGCTGACAGTAAAGTGAAACTCGGCTGTGTCAGCTCATGGCAGCACCCGTTCACATCCTAACAAATACTAAAAATTAATTACATGGTTGTAACAAATCAATCTCCCCCTCCGCCCCAGATAAGAAAAGCATTTCAGTCAGAGACACCCAAATATCTAGAAGGTGAGACACATATAAAAACCCCTAATAAACCTTTAATTCGAGTCTGGTTTGGTTTTTTGTTTGTTTTTACAGGATAGGGTGACAAGTTACAACAAACATCTGATTTTTCTCAAATGTTCAGATATTATACATATTCCCCTGTCTTGCAGGAAGGGATATCGGTCAACTTAACAGTTTAAGGTAAAATAAGCTGCATAATAGTACATATTACAATTAAAATGTACAGTGTTTACAAGAAATATATCTTAAAAGCAAGATAGATGCATTTGCATCGAGGCGACCTTTTAAAATGCCACAGCTATTTTTACATTCACTCTTGCAACAGGTCACAAGATGGGGTCACTAAGGTCAGGTTAACAAATTACTATGATGCACATCAAATACAACAAAATTAGTTTATATACATATATATAATACATATACATGTATATTATACATATACATATATGTATATAATAAAACTCATCAAAAATCTACCAGACCTGGCACAATCCACTTACCCGTCAAAAATATGTACTTGTCCTTGGTAAGTAGAATTCTGCATGGCTGATTATATATTATATATACTCATTCATTAGCATCTGAGACATAAAACCGAGGATTTAAAATTTTTCAGTTAACAAACTCTCCAATAATAAACATGGTGCCCACAAAAGCACAAAGGTAAGGCACAATAGGATTTCCTGTTGCAGAATAGTGTGCATCATGTTTACTTAACTGTAAGAAAAACGTGCATTATTTGTGCAAGTTCATGCTGCAGATCCATCATATCTACAAAGTAAAGTGAGTTTCAGTAAAATTTGTGGGACTGGTGTGCTTCCAGTCTCACCTCCTACAGGATGTTCAGCTGGATAACTAGGTAAAATGGTTGTAGGAGTGGGGATTAGTAAAGCCAATAATGTTAGATTTGCAACTAAGCTTCTCAGCAACAATTTTGTACTTCTAGGTAAACATTAGTAAATTTACAAGCTTGGAATCACAAGATTTACTGTCAGCTGCACTAGTTTGCATGAGCCAAAATTGTTGCAAGGAAGGAATTTTTAAATTTTAACACATAAATGGAGAATTAAAACATGTTATAATATACTGGGAATGTCATTTAATCCAATGGTATTTTGTCACAGCCCTGACACTTGTAATAATAAATACAGCTTTTCACAAAATATTTTTCCAGTATCTGCCAATTGCTTCTTTATTGCTCACAAATTTGAATTCATTACAATTGGTATCAGACCTTTCACACAAAATCAGTAAGGTATTTTATATAAAACCTATAAAAGATATTTAACCTGTATCCAACACTTTTAAGTATTTGGCCTCTTGTCATGGTACAGCCAAACCATATAAAACAATAGGTTTTGAATAAAATAGGAAGCTTATTTGCTGCTTTGACGCAGACATCCTCACAGAACACAACCCTTTTTGCCACCACCAGCATTTACATTTATATACAAAACCCAGTACATCCGCAATCAGTTCATCTTCCCTCACATTGATATGCAACCACTAATGCCAATTTCACTTTCCCCATACCCCAGCTGCAGAAAAAGATTTTTATATAGCAACAAAAAACTAATATTGACTGAATTTTCTTTTAACTTATTCACCATCAGGAACTGTAGGTTGCTTGTTACAAAATACCCACAAGATTATTTCACAGGAAACTATGGAAATACAAGAAGTCTTCTTTTCTCCATGCTTTTGTATTAGCAAAAACACTTCTTGGTGCAAAAATACGTCACCACATCTGCAAATGTATAATGAAATCGGTATTCCTCATGCAAAACTTAAATGCATCGGTTTACTATAGCCCCAGAAAACTTTGTGAAACAACTTGTTTTTCCTTTTTTGTCAGCTCAGTATTACTGCCTCATTGCTAAGTCCCTTTGGAAACAAGACTTCTGGAACGTTCGAACTTTTATTTAATTCTTTAAAGTATTACATACAAAAAGCACTAAAAAAGGAAGACGGCGGCCAAACAGGAACTTTCCTGTTGCAAGTAACAGTCCTAGCAGTTGTAGAAAGTTTTCTCAGGAACTTCCCTGAGAGTTAGTTGTGCCTGTCCGAAGACGCAGATGTGACATAGAGTTCATGTGTTTGTTTGATGGCTTCAGTGGAGTGTTACAAGTAAGAGCCTGGGGAAAACGATGATGATACCGATCTAGTCGCAGGTATTTTACTGTTACCAGCTTTCCTACGAGGCAAAGAAACAGGAAAAGAGAAACCTTCTAGTGCAGTATTATTGCATTTTGCTTCAGGATGTAAAAGACAAATATTTCATTACATCAAAATTAGTTTACTGATTATTGGTCTATATTTTTTTTTAACTGCTCAATACTTTAGATACCAAACATTTCACCATTTAAAAGAACTCCAACTGCACCCATCTTCTGCACCCATGGGTAATTTCTACCCATGTTTTGTTATAAACTCCCATTCCTTACCATCAAACCAAGAGCCATGTAATGCCTTGAAAGCCTTTCCAGCATACTCCGGGGAGAGACACTTGACATACACACAGCCCTGAGTAAGAGAAAGAGGGATTTGGGTTTTTTGCCAGTCCAGCTGAAAAGGATGAAGTATTAAGATGTTACTGGAAAGACACTCACCTCACGTGAATTTTTGTCTACGGCAATATGAACAATTCCATCATTGTCACTGCACTTCTCCAAGATCGCTTCTTGAATTGCTAGATGCCAGTGATCACCTATTTCCCTAGGCAAACAATGAAAGATTTAAGGGACTACGTAATTTTTTAAACATTCACAACATTCTCATACTTCCCTACTAAGTCTGGATTCTCTGTAACTTTACATCATTTTCTGGTAAATGCCTCTGGGACAGATTAAGTACTTTTCCTACTGAATACACTGTAAATTGGCTCCCATAGTCCACTTGAGAAAACTCAACCCTACAAATCTGCACAGTGTATTTTATTTATACAAAAGGAGTAACTTCTATTTGGGGGGGTGGGGTGTTATCCTAAAATGGGCTTATCCAACTGGTGCTTAGACTGATAGTTAAAAAAATATGTTTCTGCCTTGCACAGTAAATGTCTAGAACACACAACAAAGTCTGATGCTGTGATGTGAGGGTTCATAATGTACAAGTGAACAAGTTGAACAAGTTGTTCCCTTGATATGATTCCTCCCTGACTTTTGGCAGTAGAGAGGTGATTATGTGCTGTGCTAATATTAATAAAAACAAGTTAACCATTATATTCCCAGATGATTCTCAGGTCAAGAAAAAAGACCTGTTTCATGGGGCTGCTTCTAACAGCTACTGGTGTAATCACTGAAAGGAATTCAGTAATTATTGTTAGTATACAGTCACTGTAAGAGCAGCTAAAACTAGTTTTGTTAAACATACCTTGCACCCACAGCAAACGTCAAAACAATACTTGACAATCTAATCACAGACCCTGGTACATTCTGGGGTTTAGGTGGTTTTAGATGGATGAAAGCATTCATCCCTTTCTGGTCTGGAACAAGAACATAAGCCTCCTTCTTCTAACAACACAAGCAGATTAATAATACAGTTTGTCTTGCACTGAGGGCTTTGGATTTCTGTTTGGGTTTTCTTTAAGATAACTCCAAGGGTATGATAAGAACTATTTCCTTAAGCAATAGTCCTCTGAAAGACAGCTCACAGAAGAAGAATGCACTAGGAGTACAATATGGAATTGGATGAGGTATCCCACTATGAAAAAATCCAGCAGTCCAGTAATGGAGCTAGGTCAACTTCCAAAAGAAAAGGTCTACAAAAAGTCAATGTATTAGAAGTTGTAATGTTCCAAATAGCTGACTGGACATAGGCACTAAAGACAAGTGTCAGAACACAACTCCTCCTAGTCTTTTTAATGCACCTGTTGGGCATGGACTGGGTCACTGCTAAAAAGCACTGAAGCTTACAGCAAAGATACAGGCTAAAAAGGGAGATTGTTCTGACAAAAATAACACCTCAGTAATTAGTTCCATTAACAGCAGACATTTTGAACTGCTAACATTCTGAAACAGGAAAGTAGCCAATACCACATACCAATAAATATTATAGTGAAGCTCCAGGAATGGACTTATTTCAGTACCACTCAGACTAACCAATACAGCTCATTAAGTCTCCTTTGAAGCAAAGACAATAAGGATGTTGATATCACTTAAAATTCTCTGCAAATCTCATGTTTTAATCCTCCTACAGGATGATCAATTTGCTTCAAGAACAACCCCTGCAATTTCAGTCTTGCTCACCCTACTGCAACCTAAAAATTATTATAGAAGCCACAGAAGCTGGTGTCTTTGACCAGACATTAAATCTTAGACATTGAAAAAAAGGGGTTTGGAGTACTTCTCTATGCGAGGGTAACACTGTCTTGAGCTAAATTAACTAACACCTTTTCAGTTAAGAAGGCAAGGAACTAAACTAATTAAGTGTGGCAAAAAAAAGGCTGAATAAATACATCCAAACTTTGCAATCACTCGTGTCCATACTCTGATGTCCTCCCCTACTTCCAGTCCAAATCAATAGCTTGTATTATTGAGGTAGCATCTCACATGTACCCTTGGAAGACATAGCATCTGTATTTTTCCCTTGTATTATCACATTAAGGAATCATTTACTCCAGAGAAGTTATTGGAGTCCCTGTATCTCTTTACAGTGGACAAACAGACTTCAAAGCTTAGACAGGATTATCTGGCATAACCTATGTGTTAGTTCCCAACTCCTACCATGATCTAGTCCAGAGCCAAAGGTGATATTACAGAATAGTGGAGTGGGTGAAGATTTAAAAGATTTTTAAAAAAATTATTTTTCCTTAGCTTTTGGTACATGAAACAAGGCTTGTTACTTATTCATACAGAGTACATACTTCAGAATTATGAGAATTACATAAGCATTAGAAGCCAGTACGCAGCAATAATTTGTTCCCACTACAAAAATCCATTTGCTTCAGAATTAGGCAGTTACAGTGCCATAAAGTAGTAAGTGATTTAAATTCAGCCTTTCAAATGCAAACTGGGCAAGCTTTGTAGCAGTCCAAATACTCCAGCATATTGAACAATACTTTAAAAACTTACAATCTGTTGTCAGGCCACATGAGTCTCCTCTGTCAGTTGATACAATTGAACATTTACAAATTTAATTAATGGATAAAGATCAGTCATTGCTCCAAATAACAATGACTGATGCCACATCCTTCAAGAAGTGAGCCAAAGACACAGAGCAATACAATGAAGGACAGAAGGCAGATGGTTAAGATTTTTTGTCTTCTCCTAGATGTTAAGAGAAACATTTTTTTTACAACCTGTTTTTTTCAACATGTTCATGTTTCTTCACTTCTTCCAAACCCCTCTCAGAGGTAAGAAATGGACTCTTCCAAAAGAATGCAGAAATACAGACAGATAACTGCTTTTACTTACATAACTGGATCAAACATATTGCGAATCTTTAGACATGGTGTCAAGCTGTTCGGGGGTGAATTTCTTCTATCTAGATGAAATGCTAGAAAGAAAAATAAATTAAATATTAATTATTTACAGGCATAATACCATTGAGGTAAGTAATGCCAACTTTATACATTAATACCTTTCTAGTTTTACTCAGAAGAAAGTTTATTTCATATATGAAAGAATTCAAGCAAATTAGTTTCACACAGTCTTCTACCACACTGAAGAAAACATACCATATTTTGCTTAATTTTTTATACTTAAAACTTCTACATTTAAGGCACTCTCTTACATCCAGGCCACATGGAAGGAATTCAGGATTATTTTTAAAAATACCATATACTTGAAAAGAAAGGATTTGCCAGTGAAAATACAGATATACACAACACCTGGAGTAAACTTTTAGAATTGGAAGTTAACCATACAGTTCTAACTGCCTGATGAAATTTTCACTTCTTCTACTTTTGAGGCAATATGCTGCCCATCTGGCTAATAAATAAGGAGACCTTAAGATGGATGTTGCATTACATTTGTAGTGCAGTAACATGTCAAGGATGCTCTACAAGGACAGAGCCTTTATAGCCCTAAATGATCATACATGATCAGAAGCTTCTAAAAATCTGAAATGAAACATACCAGAGGATAAAACAGATATAAGAAGAAAAACTAAAATAAAAAATAACAGAGTAACTCAAAGCTGAACAGTGCCACTAAATACATGCTGAAACCCTAAAATAAATATTAACTTCACTAAAGTTCACAAGTTCTACTTGTGAGAGTCACAAGAGAAGACTGTACCATGAGAAAAGGAATCAAGGGGCACTTCAGATTCAGATAAGGCAGCTCCATACCTTGAGAAGGGCCAACAAATCAGCAGTGGAAATGAAAGGGGATAGCCTAGTAAAACAGCTTTCAAGGCTTGAAGGAAATTTTACTTTGAAGACTGAGATTAAGTAGATTCAAGAGTTTAAACATAAGACTAAAATCTCAACAACAAAAAAACTGCTACTAATGCTTCTCCTTTGCAATCCTACTTTAGAAAAATTTGACATATTCAAGATGATACATTCCAAGGGTCAGAAGTGTCTGATTTGGGCAGATGTCTGTGCTTCTTACTGCTAATCTTTTAAAATCTTGAAAGTACATCCAAGATACATGAACACTGCTGCTCTTCTGTATGCCACCCAAACAAAAACTGTGTCACACAGACAAAATGAAGTCATGTGGAAGACACAGCTTGTGAAAGACAAGCACTAACCGAGAGAAAATTCACTGCCTGGAGATACTGCATAGCTGCATAGAAAAACTTATTCTTATGTAAATTCTCACGACAAATGAAATACAATTACCAACTAGAAATTAGAAAAGGTAGCCTCCAATTCTAATATCCAACCTACTGCAAGTTCCCCAAATAACTAGAAATGTTCTTATTAAGAATACATGCACACAGAGTGCAAGTCACCAACACCTGTAACAACTGTCTGTTTTTCTCTTGGGAAGAGATTTCTAAATATGCTGGTGACACTGCATCTATCTCTAAGCTGCCTATAGTTTAAGGACAAGTCCTTTTTCAATAGCACATGGTTTTGTAAAGTTTTTTGCCCCTTATTAAAAATTATACATAGGGTATACAATAAAAACTTTACAGAACTAAGCAACATTGAAAAATACATGGACTTACCTTACTTATGGAGGTTGGCTCCAGCAGATCAAGGGTGAGGTGAAATGTCACCAGCATATTGTACACTGGGGCACCACACCATACTGGAGAAGGTGATCTGGGGTGGCCTAGTCATGGACCTGGACCTGAAAAGGTGTGGGGTTGAGGAAATTATGTGCTGATTGTTTATAACTAGGTTTATTCAGCACATGGTTTTAATCCAAGGATAAAGAATGGTGAGGTTATTTGCAGAGATCCTAGACCCAGAGGATCAACACTTCTCGAAGCTGTTTATGAACTAAAAAAAATCCATACTGATATTTATGGAAGCAGTTAAACCACTGAGCTATCCAAAAGTAACTAAATGGGGAATTCACCCTTTAGTGTAGTTACCTATATAAACCATTCTTTGCCTGTTCCAGTTTCTAATAACTTTGATGTCCTTTTGACCTGAAGATCTTGGGTGCTTACTGAGATAACCTCAGCCAGAGCCTACCATCAGCACAGGACCAAACTGCTTCTAACTTCATGTAATCCCACCAGTAGGGAAGTGTGCCCAGAGTAGTGCAGCATATGAAAATAAAGATGAACTCTGTCTTTTCTCAAAAAAACTTCTCAAAATCATGCTAAATTAAAAGCAATTTTTGCAACTTAGATAGGGCTTTTCATGTATAAGGGAAAAAACTACCATGGAAATCAGTGAAGTGTGAAATTAATGCTAGAACAATAATAACCCTTAATATGTATACCAGAAATGGCACCAAAAAGAGAGTGTAGAGAAGACACAGGAAAGTTAATGTTGTACCTACACAGCAAAACTGAAACTAGCATAGTTAAGTGATGTCTCTTGAACTTCATTTTACATCTGTAACAACTGATTCTCCCCCTCCCCTAAAAGAAGTTGTTTCAGTGACAAAGCTGTTCAGAATACAGTACTGATTATTTGAAAAGTTACATTGGTGAGGAGCATACAAAATATTCTTGATAAGGGCATAAGCAAACATTCTTGCAAGACAACAGTATAAGCTACACACTGGTTAACTAAGCATCTCACATCTTTTTCTACATAGGTCTAAGGAGTAATGCTTACAAGACAAAGATGAAAAGGTAGAGATGAAATAGGGAAGCAGAGACACAACTTTGTGCAGTAAGTCGCTGGTAGGAAAAAATTCAGGACTTTCATAAATTCCCCTTGGGGACTACTGAGCACTTTCAAGAAAAGGAAGCTACTTTTTATTTAATTCATAATGTACATTGTTTTACTACCTTAAACTGAATATCACTATCATTCCAGATTTGAAGAGCAGCAGCAGCTAAACACATGTGCTTTTGTCAACCCCTTTATTACTGTCTATGATGGAAGAAGTGTCTCTTGCACTGGCTTCAAAATGAGCATTGAAGAGATTGAAGTACAGCTTTCTATACCCCTTGAATTACTAATATATTACTACTAAAGGAATTCCCAAGTATCATCACCATGGGTTACAAGACAACCCAAAAGATCTTTAGATGTAAATTTGATAAACCTGATAAGGCTGAATACTTGCATCAAATATAGGTAGCCATATTTCTTAAAACCAGTTTTTTTCAATGTTAAGCCATGGATCACTGCAATTTAATAACTACTAACCCTTCTTATCAAAGGCAAGAAAAAAAAAAGAAAACAATTACCTGAAAATATTGAAAATATGCTCTTTCATACATCATGAGGTTCTTTAATACACATGGAAGATACTGAAATTAATATCACCAAAGAGAAAATATGGTTGAACTGAGGTTTAATATAGTTAATTCAGCTATAGAAGACAAACACAGGATGGATACTGAATTTCACAAGCAGCATGAAATCCAGTTTTCTTGCAAGTTCAGAGTATAATTGTGGTTTGGGGTTTTTTGGTTTGTTTTTGTTCAGAGAAAAGATTATGTTCTCACAAGCCGGGGAGGAGGGGTGTCATTCACAAAAGGTAACAGGTTATCTTCCATGCTGCAGGATGAAATATCACCCTAGACGTGGTACTTCAGAGAACCTCTTTATCTCATCTCCAGAGCTGTCAAGGAACTTTAGCTTGTACTGTTAGCTTAGCTACACTGCAGCCCTGCCTATCTAGCTTTCTTCAGAATCCCAGTTATCAAAGGTGTGATAGGACAATTGTATCTGTTCTTTCAAAAGCAAACTGAACACACTAGAATTGTGGGGTTCTCTCCACTGTGAGATTTAATTAAATCACTTGGCATGATCAAGATTGTTTCTCAACTCACTATTCTCTTGTATATTGTTTTCAAAACATTGCATTCATCCAACCCTACAATTAGCTTACCTACCCTTTTCTTTTTAAAAAAATACAGCTACTGTATCCAGTAGGTAATATTTCAAAGGGATGGCGCCAGAATTTATTCTGATCCAGAAAAAAAAAACTAAACCAAACTGTCAAAACACAGGCTGCACCCTGAAGTACTGGACAAAATGTCGCAGTGATGCTTTAACACACTGCTAACAGACAGCAGGCAGTAGATCTCAGGCAAGCTACAGGTCCCAAGAGTTAAAATGCACACTATCATTCACAGATACCCTTGTATATGCTGACAGGCCTTCTGAAAAGGGTTTCTTCTTCAATTGCACATGCTCAAGTATTGTTCTCTGCTACAGAGCACCACCAGATATCAGATGGTTAAAAAATTGCAAGCTTGAAATTTATTCACAAGATTCAGACCCAAGAATTCATTATGATTTTCTATATGCTGAGTCTGTTGAGGGCATAGCAGTCTTGAAGAGTATCTAGATTTATGAACTTATACATTCAAACATCAGAACTGGAGAATTAACTTAAATTCCAGTTAATGCATACTTCCAAGAAAGGAAGAAAGTGACACAAACATGGAGAATTCCTAACATCAGGAAATAAATAGCTGGGCAAAAGCATGAGACTTATGCAACAGAACTATTTCCAACAGTCATTTGAACACAAGGAGTGCAAAATAGAAAGAGCCTTTGCATGTGAAAATTGCCTTTGCCTGCCGACTGTCATAAGCCCAAATAAACCACTGTCGTTTCAGCCACCCCACTTTCACACCCTTCTGTTAGAGCTGAAGTATGCAATTTCATCTCTTCAGAGATCTTCACTAAACTTCAAACATAACAAGGAAATCAGAAAAATTGCAATTAAAAGGACTGCAACAGAATGGATTTTGATACATCCTATGCAATAGGAAACAGGAAGTTGTAGTACATACTCTCTAAGCAACATACAGATGAAAGCCACAGCTGAGAGATCAAGTTATTTTGTCCATATTTGCAATAAGCTGAAGTAGGTTATCAGATGCTCAGACTGGGATGGTACATATCAATACTACTACAGCAATCTTTCTAGGAAAGACTGTTCTGTTTACAGTCTTGAATGTATATTACAGGTAGCAAAACACCACCTGAGCTATCACACACTGAGGGGTCTCCAGGTGAGAAGAATCCAATCTGATTTCTAATACAGGACAGAATGCCATGGAGTGATTTATACTGCAGTCAAACAGGACAAGAAAAACTGAGAGCAAATGAGCAGCAAATTGAAACTAGAGCATGATGTTTCCCAGCCTGCATTGAACAATACAGTATGTAGAAGATTCAGATTTATAATACATATATGGTTTGCAGAAGCTGTGTTCAATTTAAGTGCTTGATATTCAATCATGGCAGTACTACAGAGATGGAACAGAAACAGCTGTTGACAAAACCCACCATTTCTGTATCGCAACTAAAGCACTTGCACATCGCTAATGTACAATGTCCTGGAAAGAAAAGGTTCCACAACTCCTGGAATAAAGTTCACATACACATCTCACTCATGAAAACTTTGAGAAATTAAGAAATTAAGCAATACAGCTGTCACAGCAGAATGCCACATTACTACTACTGCAAACAGAACCTCAAGCCTGCAGCAGCATTCATGCGGTACTTTTAAAAAAGCAGCCCTCATTTCCAATGAATTATTTAAAATGAGAAATGTAATGCTAAAACCAGTAGTATAAGTTTGAGAAGTATATAATGATATTACTTACTTTCACACTCAGGCAGAGATAGAAATGACCATTCTTTTTAAATTGCAAACCAGAATTCAAGTCCTATAGTTTCAATTTTTCATTGACAAAAAAAAAAGCAAACCAAAACCTGAAGCTTAACATGAAGAAAAGCAGAAAGAAAAACCAAGAAAGGTTTTTCAAACCAGGAAAATATGACCACTGCAGACATACAACTGCAAACCTACTACATTCTTGCCATTTGGTTTCATGATAAAACTGAAAAGTGACAGAGCACTAAAAAATCCATGTATGACAAACTGCCTTCTCTATTAAAGCAAATGCTGACCACAGAGTCTGAAAAACAAATGCAGTGTAGAAAAACATTTATGACAGAGATAGAACATCTAACATTATTAGATATTCCAAATGCCCATTTTCCTAATTGAGGAGTCTTTTGTCCTGGCAATTTCCCTTTTAAAATAATTATCTCTTCCTCCTAACTTTGTCTTTAGGCAGTTTACTGGCAACTTAACAGCAGGAAACCTAAGTCTGCAAGACACAATTTACCTGCTGTCATACACAACCAATTACACTACTAACAGTAAGTGTAAGGCATGTCAGAATTTGACCAACTAAAGAGTATTCTTTTTAAATTCACAAAAAAAGAAATAGTAACTCACTTTGGCTAAATACCCACTGCATATTTCTGCAGTAGCTATAACAAAAAAGCTACTTTCCCTTGAAAACAAGGCAGACACAATGCACCAAAAGAAAGTCCATACAACAAGATAATAGAGAAACAGCACTAACAGTTTATAATAATCCTTAAATGCAAGAGAGAAAACAAGTCTTTCATGCTTGTTTTCAAGCAACAGAGTATCATTTTTAAGTTAGATGCAGAAATTAAGACAATCATATCTGCAAAATATATCTTCAATACCTTGGCCTTGCCACACTTTTGATGGTATCACTAAAATTTTGTCACATGCTGCAGAAGGTTGCATCCACTTCCAGACCAAGAACTCGGCACCACCCACTCTTCGTGTCTCTGTGCGAACTCTAGATTCATTTGCTGCAAGAAAGTCAACTGCTCTGTTCCAGACTTTATTCATCTTCCTCCTTAAAAATTGAAACAAGAATTACAAAGTTAGCATAACAACAACCTGCATAGTTGACATCACCCATGTAAGAGAATCCAATGCTTTTCCTTCCATCTGTGTCAATAGGAAACTCCAAAATACTACATTGTGCAATCTATTAAGAAATTAAGTTATTTTTATCTGAAATTAAGTTAATTGACCAATTTATTTTTACTAGTTTTCCCCCCCTTTCAGTACTTCTAGTGAGAACGCACCTGTCCTGAGGTGGTATTAGAGAATCACGCACATGCAAAATTGGCATGTAAGGCTGCAACTCTTTATTTTCTGAACAAGCCTCACTGTGGCTTCTTAAAACATCTGAGGACAAAAAAAAAAAAGAAACCAAACTGATAACTATGTAGCTCATGCAAACAATTAAGAAAACTATCACTTCTGGCAATTAACACCTACTCTGAACACCCCTCCCGATTTCAATAGTTAGGTTTTTCTGGCATTTTGAATCATTTTTTCCAAAACATTCTTAAGGAAAATTAACAACAGCATATCTAGGTATCCCAAGTAACTTTGAAGTAAAGGAAGATAGTTCTTACAGTTACTCTTGACTGGTACTTTTTAAGTGTTAGTAAAGATGGCCATCTTTGAAAAGAAAGTGCTTTGCTTCCACCTCAACAAAACTTGATTTGCAGACAAGAAAGGTAGGCACATGGTTAAAATAAAACAGTTTTGATTCCTCTACCATCTCTGTATTTATCGTGACTACCATAAATGAAAGTAATAGAACAACTTAAGTAAGACTACAAGACAAACAGAAAGACTACAAACTGAACCCACTGCTAACACTGTGGCTTCAAGTAGAAAGAGGGGATTTCAGATCTCAGTTGTGCATACTATTTTGCCAAAATAGCTTCTGCTAAAAGTAATTAACTAAAAAGCTGCTTTTTCTATGAAAAAAACATTAAGGATGGTATTGAGAGCTACCACACATTTTTGGAGTGGATATTTTATCTGAAGTTAGCTGAAAAAAACAGACATAGAAAGCAACATGTCGCTATACTTCAGTAAACAAACATCCCATTTCTATTTGTATTAAATAGTAGGACAAAAAACTACCAAGTCAATGGCAACTTTATAGCCATGTTGATATAATTCACAAATTAGAAGATTCATGTCAAAAGCTTTGATTAGGTTTAAAGGATGGGGTATCACACTGGACCAAGAACTCTAACAGCATGACAACTAAACATGAAGAAACATTAACTTAATTAATTAACAGTACTCTGAAAGCTAATACAAAGCTGATACAGATATATCAGACACAATTGAACATGCCATACCTATGATTTTCACCACCATATCATACATCTGCTTTGTTTCTTCTTCCTCTTTTGCCCAACGGTATTTCATGTAGTGTAAGACTCCCCAAACCATTGCTATACCTGCATTAACATGCATAATACACTTTAAGCAGTATTAGAGCACTGGATATTTAACAGAGTTTACAGAGCATACTTCAGAAGTAGACTGAACTATCTAACAAGCACTGTACATTCCAAAGCTAGTGAAATACACTGTACTTGCTGTCTGTATTTTATACTCTTATACAGGAACACAAACTCTTCCACTTGAAAGAGCAGTTATTTCTAGGAAAACATTTAATTGTTTTAAGAACAGCTCAGTATTCCAGATCATCTTTTCTGCAGTTATTTTTTAAACTTTCTAGAACAACAGTGAAATAGCCTCAAAATTAAGGCTATCATCTTTTTACTGAACAGTTTGCTTTTTCTGGTCAGTTCAACATGGAACTTTTGAAAGCCATAAGATATTGCTCTGGCAGGGAAAAAGATTTTCCAAAGAATGAATATGTTCAGCTGACTATAGAAGCAGATGATAACAACCAGTGTGGAAATACAGTGGTGCAAAAGAAATGCATATCAAACCCCAATTTAATCAGGATATGAACAGAAACTCTAAGTTTTATGGCTGAATAAAAACTTTCTCTAAACTTGCTTTTCCCCATGCACTTAGATAAATATGAGTTACAACAAAAAAAGCTTGACCTTTTTATTAACTTACCCCAAAGCAATATTGATAATCTGTGAGTTACATTAACAAACGCACGGCGAAAACGACACCTGAAAGACATCTTTGGACTAGTGGATTCCAGATACTTCACATCTGTCACGTTAGTGACATCCATCTCATTAGGGTCATTGCTGAGACACCTATTCAAAAACGTACAGCACTTATGAAAAAGGATACATTCTCTTAGAAGAAATTAAAGGAAAAATAAACACCACTTACTTTATGCCAACATCTTCCCCACTATTCAAGATCCATTGTAATGATGTGTTAAGTACACTTTCATATTCTGGATCTAAATTCTGTCAAAATACAATATTAATCAGTAATTTCATAAATAACCAGGGACTTATCATGCCAATAAAACTGAGATACTATACAGATCAGTAGTCAAAACTATATTGTTTCATTCCTGATACTTCAGATTTTCAGTACGTGTCCACTGCATAAAGTAAATCTATTTGTGCTACAAGCAGTTCCCAGACTCACCAGCATCCCTCAAACTAAGGAGTATTTGAAAAGCCAAGCCACGTTCACTGCTTTATTCACAACTCTAGAGTAAGAAAAACTATTCAGCCACTAGGCGGCGATCGCTAGAAATCTACTCCGAGAGGGAAACTTCAACTAGATCTGAACTCCGCTGGAAACGCCTCCTATGAAAGCAGTTCCATGCTCCATTCTATTTTAAGAAGCTTGAGTAAACATAGTTTTAACAGATATTTTGAAAAAAAAATCCAGGATTTGTAGATCAAGAACTGACATCACTACATTGACTTTTAAAAAATTATTTGATATCGATTCTAATAGGGTAACATTCACGGCTATCTGAGCTAAGGCTTTCTCCATAGCTCATCTTTCATGCTCTTTTGCAGAAAGAGAAAAGTGAAAATGGAAGTTACTGCTGTATTTGAAATTACAGTCCCAAAAAAGTTTTATTTTCATCTTTACTCTGAACCTCACATTGGCTTGGAATCCAAGCATAAGTCTTAAGAAAAGACAGTAATGGTTTTATTTTACCTTTGAGATTAAAGTATTGAAAATTTTATCACTGAACACACAAATTCTGCAAAGCAGCTGTATGGTTAAATAAGACTTCCTAGAAAGCAACAACTTTTCATATTAAACTTGAGCTTTCTAGCACAGCTAAAACAGTTATGATAACAATGAACAGTTATGTCATTCTTTCAGCATAACATAGGCAAGACAATCAGCTCTAGGGCATAACCTTAATTTTTTCCACAATGGACTGATTTTAACTGATATAGATTATTATTGCCAAACCATAAACCAGTGTTAGCAGCTTCTTTGGGATGCTCTAAAGCATTGCCCCTTTTTGTCTACTACATACACATTGGCCAAAACGCAAAATTTCTACACATTTGTATATTAAATACATCAGTTTAACTCCTCCCCATGCAATCAAAGAAATCTTACACTCTCTGCCTCTTAAAAGCTTCAAGTAGTTTTCCACTGAAGGGTACACCAACGTGGGCTAAAATAAACCCTACAGCTGTCAAGACAAGGCAAGAGTCATCTTTTATTTGGGGAGTGAGGCAGGGGAATAACAGCGAGTGGGATTTCATAATACTGCACAGTGATCAAATTAACAAAAAGGCCTTTTTTTGACCATTTCTATTTAAAGCATCAATGAATAGCCTCTCCAAACAGCTGCTGCCTGTCAGGCTGCTTGCACAGATCTACCCATCAACCATTCTCCACAAAGAATGGAAGAGTATCCTTTTCTACTAAGTCTCAAAAACCAAAACAGTGATTTCCAGAGAAGCATCTAGATATTTGAGTCTTATAAGTTTATTATTTTCATCTTGGTCAACTATTTCCATCAATCCAAATCATCTCCTGGTGTTTTAATGAAAGAGAAAAAGCTCTGCATGTCAATGAAGCACTACTAGCTACACTTTCATTGTAATTAATTCTGTTTCTTTTACCCTCCCTCTCCCCAAATGCTCACTACATCCCCAAATAAAAATCATATGTAGTTATGTACTAAAGTCATCAGTTCAGAGCATTTCCAAATAACATTCAATACTAAGTCAAATTTTAGTCAATACAGTAGATACGAAAACAGGCCTTGCAAATTGTAACTTATACAGATCTTCTATAGAATCAATGAAAAATAACTCATTTGCTTACTTTTAAATATGCAGCTGCCTCCTGGACGGTAAGGTTTCTTTGAATAGAGCTGCCACATTCATGTTCCCCTGGTAAAATGAAAACTTTTATTTTGATCTATTTATTACTGCATTATATAAAATAAAATCACCTAAACACCAGCTTATGGTTAACAACATTTACACAAGCAGCCATAGCAGTACAGTAATTCTCATAGGTTCTACTAAAAATATGGAAAAAATCTCCGCACAAATTTCTCCTTCAAAAGAAGTTTAAAAACCCCGATGATTTTCAGAACTAATAATATGCACAAATCACAGCAATACAATCTCATGTGCTGCTCAGAAAGTGTGTTTTGGTATTTACACCAAAAGCAGAATAATAGGCAGCATGAAGAACTGTCAGAAGGACATTACCATAAAAGTTACTGTACCGACTCAGCTTCCAGATATTTTCCTTTAACTCCAAAACCTGTATTATCTTTTATAGAGCCCAAGTTCCAGTTGAAATACATCCATAGTATTTCAGGCACTATGAAGTTACTGCATTTTAGATTGGCCTAAGTTACTCTGGTAACTCATTGCTTTCCTGAACATGCACAGAATCTCACTATAGCTTGAAACAGGCACTTTTAACATCTTCTATTGGTTTTGGAATGTGTGCAGAAGTAGCCAGGAAATAAGGTATTTATATGCATAGTCAGTCCTCAGAGCAATGTGCCATCATCTCCCTGGTTTTCTCTGCTAAACTAAAGGTACATGGTTAATGCAATCAACAAGAAAGTAGTGAAAGTAGTGACAGTCATATCAAGACAAAGCCATACAGAAAAGGAAAAGGTCTAACTCAAGTTTTCCATCTATCACTAGGCCATCATTTCTGAAGAACTGTCAGCAGTGGCAAGACACTTTTTTCCCCTACCATTTCTTTAAAAAACCTCTAAATCTTGGCATCTGCAACTATGTTTTTACTGTGCCAAAACAATAAAATAGGAAACAACAAACCCAGTCTTTCACTGGCTGAGTGTTATGCCTGCCTTACCTTCTTGAATCTATGCCAAGTTGTACTATTCCCAAAGCTATAGCAAGGCTAAGAAAATTTAAGATACTTGTGCTTCTGTAAAATGTAAATCTTCACTTATATTGGAATATATTTCTTAAAAAGCAATTTCAAGTATTAGTTCCCTACAAAAACAGGAACATTCAAGGCAATGTGAGCAAAAGTTAGGAAACACTAGCAAGTTATGGAGAAGCACCTTCACACCTCACTCATTTGGAGTTCCAAAGAAATACACATTTCTATGAAGCCAAAGTCCTTCTCAGACTGCAGAAGTTTGTTTAATACACTTCAACAGATTTAAGAGAATTTGGCCTTGCAAGCACATTAGCCTAACAGGGATGCTCTTACTGCTGGGATATAGAAAAATAGGAGCAGTGTTTGTAAGAGTGCTCATATGCTAACTGGCCTAGAAGTGCTGCTGGAACTCAGCCTGTGTGCCTGCATGTATTTTCAATCAAGCACTGAGCAGAAAACTTTACAAGTTGTTTCACTTGAAAATTAGCATGCAACATCTAAGGCTTTCAAAGTGCCTGAGTCTACTGTAATCACAAAACTAGACAGATCACTGCTGAAAATGGACACCACTTTCATAAAACCCACTCTAATTTTAGAGTGGGTTTTATTCAGCACCTGAATTGGAGCTATGGGCTTTTCTTGCATGCAATTTAGGCAGACTTTGGTTTTGTACAGCCTAAACTGTACAGCCTGTAAATTTACATGCATAATCATCAGTGATTTCATATTTCAAGATTAGCAGACTTAGAATAACTATACATCGTACTCATACAGTCTCTGGTGTAAACATATTGTTTTAAATCTCGAAGTGATAGAATAAATACAAGAAACCCAAACCATATCTCTGTAAAAGCTGAATGTACAATTTACACCTGATATTAAGTTGTACGACATGAGCAAGTCTGAACAGGTATTCCTACATTTAAGCCTTCTCTCTTGTTTGGTAAGACCTGAAGTCTTTCTGAGGTCTTTTTAATACAGACAAAGCATGTAAGTCATACTTTGAACAAAACAGCTTGTGAGAGAAGGGGGATGAGACCCTTCTGCTAAGAAGCTTTGCTTTGGTTGTTTTTTAATTATCTAGATTAGCAGAAAAGTCCTGTTATGAAATAAATGGGAGAGAATAAAAAGGGTGAGGTTAATATGCAGATGAGAAAGCAAATCAAACACACAAGCAGGAGACAGATTGTGAAAAATTTGAATTCTTAAAAAGAAGTTTCAGGGTTCATGTTGGATTTTCCACCTTCTGAGAACACAGCACTGCCTTTTACAACAGAACAAAAGCTCCCTTAGGTAGGGGACTACTGAATTACTTTAGTAGTTTTAAATGCTAATCTTATGTGCCTTCTTCCGAAGAATTACATTTATGCAGCACCCAGCCAGCATACTGACTTAACAGCTTCTGGTCTCATCTTCAGAAATCAGCAGACAGTTTCCTGTCAGTCCTGCTGCTGAATTTTTTTTCAAACTGTATTCCCTCTGAACAAGTTGAACAATTAACAAAACCTTTGCTGCCTGGGCTCTGACAATGTCTAAGGCCCATCAGTTCAAATTTCCCTCAAGCAATACTGGGGCAGGGGGGAGAGGAATAAAAATCACTTTCATCTTGTCTCCCACTTAAAAAAAGTAAGCTAATGAGTTATGGAGTTTCAGTCTTGTACAAAAAGCTATTGGAGACACAGTTTCTCATTCCAACACATCTTTTGCTGAGATCCATTTAGCAGCTTTCTTCTAAGAAACTCATGAATTTGAAAGCTTGCAGAAAGTTAGGCATTTCACAAGCCAGACAACCTTCTGTTTTACTGCAACAGCAGGATATTCCTATATGCAATTTCAGTCACTGTGTTAGCTAATAGTTCTGCAAATGAAGGTTTACTTAGAATAACTTTGGTGCAATCATTAACCACTTGGCCTGGAAACCCACTTTCCATAGTCTGAGCCAAAAATGTTTCCCACTGTTCCATTTGAGGCCCTATATTCAGGAATGAAACTGAAGCACAGGCAAAAAAACTTTACACAAGTCTGCTGCAAGATACATCTCATCTCTTTGTAAAAACTGCCCCTCTGTTATAATGTCTGCTGTGAGCTTACTTTAGAAAGCATGAATCTTTGAGCTTAAACTTTCCTTGACTACTGATCACCAACTTCAAGAGCAATCAAAGAACCTTTGCTTTTGAAGGGAGGCAAATAGCACATCCCAGCAATAATCACAAAATTACACTTTAGCTTATGTTAGTGTATTTGGGAAGGCCACTTAAGAAGTAGAATTCTTCTAAAAACACTACCAAAAAAGCAGCTAAAGTTTCAATTCAAATAAATACTTATTATGTCTCAACTGCTTCTAATATAAAAACCAAGTGAAATCTTCTCCATGCAGGCTAGAATATTTGAAATTGACTTTCATTTAGGCATTTAACTTATGAGCTGCAGCATATACAGGCAACAGAAAATATTTAAAATTTTGAAGTATTTGCTTTACTCTGTAAATAATTTTCTTACTTGGTAGCAAAATGCAGTGGAAATCTAGTATTTCAAAGAAGACGTGGATTTAGCACAGATCTCTAGCTTATAGCTGGATGTGATATGGCCACCAATACAAACTGCAAGCAGGGTACAAGACATTTGTTCAGTAGGTCTCATGTTTTCAGGCTACTTGCAGCAGAACACTAAAGTGGGCAGCTCAAGAAAAGCAGAAGACCAAGAGCAAGTAAGAATGCCTGATCTTCCAAAGGCAAATTCAAAAGCTCAATAACACTGCAGAACACCAGAACTTGCTAAACAGCTGTTTAATCATTGGTTGGAAACAGCACAGTATCAATCACCTGAAAAACCAAAGATTAGGAGAGTGACAGAACAGAGAGCCTGTGACAGCCATCAGATATAGTAACTGATACTTGAAATTAATATTAAATAATATTAGGTGGTTTGCCAGGTTTTTCTTCCAGCCAGGGATTTACCAGGAAGCCTTATTACATATGAAAGCCTAATTCACCCCTGCATCTTCAAGGACCTGTGAAAAGAAGGAAACTGTCTAAATCCGATAGCCTGGCACACTGAAGAATGCCAGGCCAGAGAAGTGGCTACCTAAAAAATCATTTATTTACAAGAAAGGGTCATACCCATGGGTGGCTGGTTGCTTCTTGTGACTATAGTGGTTAGATTTATTCATTTTGCAAGTCTGACTGAAAATGGTTGTGATCTATTGAAGTCTCTCCAAGAAGGACCAAGATATCCAGTAATTAACATATGCTGAAGTAACTCTAATTTTGAAAAAGCAGGTATTTTGTTTTAGCAGAAAGTGCTGGGTACTGAAATATATACTGTTTATAAAAAGTTGCTGGTTTGAAGAATGGCTAAACCATTCAAAATAAGAACATGGGAACACAAACTTCAACTCAAGGGAGAAGCACTATCGGCTCCTCAGGTTCTGAGTTTCCTGTGAGGCAAGAAATGACTCACTACAGGTTTGGCAGCCCACTAATTCTGAGAACAGTGATGCATTAAAGGCAACCTATTTCTATATTGGATAATGAAACAATTTGACAACATATTGGAGCACCACAGTCTAGAATAGGTATCTACAATTGCAACATGGTATATTAACTCAAAATTAACGAACTATTCCTCTGACATTTTCTTCCTTAAAAAAATTAATGTTCTATCTTCTAAAATAAAAGCCCCATCACTTGCCCTCCATTTGAAGTTGACAAGGTAAGAAAGTAGATCAGTAAAAATAATAAGTCTGTTTTATTAAACAGAGCTAGAAACCAAATTTTGAGGGGATCATCTTTACGGTAGTCAAGATGTTGAATAAAGCTCAACAGAACAGACTACTTCAAGTTTCCAGCCTGCCTTTTTAATATTAATAGTTATAACATGAACAAATGATTCATAGCCAAGTATGAAATGAGAGAAACTTTTCCAAGTATGTGACAGAGAGACCTGAAAGGCACCACTTTGTGTAAATCTGTATTCTTTAACTTCACTTTTGAAGTGGTGCACTGTGCACAAGATCAACGCTCTTAAATCCTGCATCTCCCTTGCAGCTTTCTCTGTTTTATGCCTTTTAAGCTGCTTCCAGACAGTGTGCCAGGTCTACATCAATATAGTATTCCAAAATGGATGGCAGACATCTTCCTCTCGTATCTTAAGAAACTTGGCATTGAGGAGAATTTCTGTCTAAGTAAAGATGGATTAGGTCCTTCTTCAGACTGTATGAAAGCTACTCTACTGAGCAACCAGGTAATCTCACATTACAGCTCCAGTCTGGAGTACCACCTAACCAGAAAGGATAGTTCTATTTTCAAAAGGAAGCATTTGAAGATCCTTCTGGCCAGAAACAGACTAATAGAGAAAAATGCATCTTTGAGACCTAGTGAAGCAAGCAGCTGTCTTGGAGCATACAAATTCTTCTTCATAAGGCAGACAGCCCTTCATAAGGCTTACTGAAGTAAGCCCCGGCTAGTAAAGAAAACTCCCTTTCTTTCATGGATGTAGAAATTATGTGCCAAACCTTTTTACCCATTTAGTACATTGTGTGGCCCCTGGAGGGCCAGATGACACACTGAACAAACAGCAAGCTGTTACACTCTTCAAAAGAGAGGGAAGCAGCGTGACAGTGATCTAAGCAAGGAAAAGCAACAATCCCCTGGAACACTCAGCTATAGTACGGTCTATGTCAGAAGACAAAGATGATCAAGAGACTGGAGCATCACTCTAATGAGGAAGACTGAGGGAGCTGGTCCTGCTCAGCCATGAGAAGAGACAACTGAAAGGGAGCCTCATCAATGCTATAATTATCTGAAGGGAGGATGTTAAGAGGATGGAGCTGGACTCTTGGTGATACTCAGCAACAGAATAAGAGACAATGGGCAGAGACTGATGCACAGGAAGTTCCACCTGACCGTGAGGAAGAATTCTTTACTGTGTGGGTGACTGAGCTCTGGAACAGATGGTCCAGAAAGCACATGGAATGCTTCCCTTGCTGGAGATGTTCAAGAACCATTTGGATACAACCCTATGCCATGTGCTCTGGGATGATCCTGCTTGAGCAAGGAGGTTGGCCCAGATGACCCACTGTGATTCCTTCCAACTTGACCCATTCTGGGATTCTCTGATGTAAACAAACCAAAATATGTGGGGCTTGTCCAAACACCTATTTTATTCACAGCAGACACCATAAATGCTGTGGAAACAAAATGTTTCTGCATGAAGATAGATTACTGTTGCAATATACAGGGTATTACAGAGCTGCTCAAATTTCTCACACATTTCCTATACAGCCCTGACATATTACACTGTTGGCTTTGTATCTGACACAGAGCTGTTTCCACATTTTTTTTCATGTTTGCAAGATGTCTGTAGCACCTGATAATAATGGAAAAGCCTTCTTGGTAAAACTTGCTGATGCCAAACAAATAGTTGGCACAAACACCATTAAGACCTCCTGAACACATGATGGGTTAAATATGCAAGGATGATAAAAAGGGCTTAATAGTCATGACACAGACTCAGCTGTAACTCTCATTTACCAGATACCAAAGTTATAATCACAGCCTTAACTTCATTTCATATGTGTGCAGTTTAAAGTGGTGTTCCTTACGACTCTAGATAAAACCACCCTATTTTTCACTTTGAATATTCAATAATACTATCCCTAAACACTAAATCTGACACATTACTATATGCAGCACTTTTCATTACTGTATAAGTCATATGGTTAAGTTGGACATTTTATCTAACAAGGCAATCTTGTTCAACCACTACTGTTCACTTTATTAGTAACCGTTTTAACACTGTCGCAAAATATTTTATTTTCACCACTGTGAATTAACAACCTTTAAGAAACCCACACAGTCCTCTTCACATATAGTAAATTTAATTTAAGCCTTTTAACAAAATGAGATTACTAAAGTATTCAGGCTTCAGGTCAAAAACCACACAGGATCACAATATTCAAGAGCCTATCTCATTAGCAAACATTGCAGCAAAAGGTGCAACACTGGTGGAAAAAGACAGTGTAAGTGAACTAGAAACAGGATTTCAAGTTCCCCAAAATGGAGCTCTAAATGGCTATCAGGGACCCAGTTATTGCAAATCACTATCTGAGCAGGGACTTTTATGTTGCCATAATGTTACATCGCAATATTTTTAAGTGTTACCTGCCACTTGTGCCAATTTATCATGAAGTGCATACAAGCTCTTCATCATGAGACTTATTTCGTCTTCCTAGAATGAGAAAAACATATTTATGTTAAAACAAGCAGTAGTACAGATGTACTTTTTTCCTTTTATCCCCAAAATCTTCAATTACCATGAGGAAAAAACCCACGGTTTAAACACGCAGGTAGGAAGCTGTAATGTCTCACACACCAACAATGATGCAGGCAATAGATTTTGAATCCAAATATACACTACACTGAACTTTCAGATCTTGACTGAAGCTGAACAAGGTTGCAGCTTGGACTCTGATGGATCTGCCAGTTAAAACCAAGAGAATCTCAGTAGTATTTTGATACTACCAAGAAAGTAGTGAAATGACTCAAAAGAAATCTGTTTTGTTTGGGGTGTTTTTTGATAGGTACTGTCTAAAAATAAAAGTTTTATTCTTTATAAATGTGCTGTGACATTTTATACAAGCCACACTAAAGTACCATCTGGTCACATTCCAGCATAAAATTCAGAGCAAAGGAAGACTTTTGTTGTCCACCTTCCAACTACAGTAATTTAATTTAAAAAAAACAACCAAAAAAACCACTCTCACCAAACAAAAAGCCAAAAGAAAGCACACCAGAAAGCTGTGAACTATATTGTTGATACTTCCTGCATACACCATAATACAAAAAGGCCTAATTCCCAAAAGAAGCATGAATATGAGATGTCATATAATTGCAACTTACAGGGGAGTTTAACTTATCAAGATATCAAGCAATTTATTTTAATATAACCAGGACCATTTTATATTTAGAAGGAATTATTCAAAACATAAAGACAAAGAACATGCAATTACATACACAAAGGCTATTACATACACTGAAGGCTATTCTGAAATGTTGAAGTTTTATCAAATGGCTAGGACTAGAGCCTTCATTCAAAAAAATACTCAAAAAAGAAATTTTCCAGTTTGTGCATATGCATAATATTCCAGTTTGTGATTACAGTAATTTTGAAAAAAAAATAACTATAGTAGGCTTAATTCCCTGATGCACCAGCATTATTGACATAATTTTAAAATGTGAGTAGTCCAATTTTTTTTCCTGTAAGAAAATTGCTACCAGAAAAGCAAAATACTTCTTTCATCGATCAAACAATGGACAAATTATTTCCCAACAGCACCATTAACATTACCAGCATCATCTCTCCCTATTCTGGTACTAGAAAACCATCACTGAGATTAAGTTGATGTAGTTGATACTCCTCAGGAAACTAACCAATCTTACTGACTCGTTTCCTGGCTGGAAAACACTGTGAATGGCAGAAGAGGAAAATCAGTCTTCCAGCACACACACACCACCAGCAGTACGTCAGGTTCAATTTACTTGCCAGTGGATACACCCATGACTTCACTAATAGCTACAGTGAGATGAACATGAGAAATATTACTGTGACCATTTTTTTTTCTAATTAACAGTTGGACCACATAAAAGAAGCAACTGAGCAGTATAGCCTGTGTAGCTAACAAACAATCAAGCATGGAAAAGGATTACTATGGAACAGTGCAGTAGACACAGGAGTAAGTAACACACAGAAGAGGTTCTCAGGCCAAGTCCAGTGAACAAAATGTATTCTCTCCACACTAGTAAAGTCATTTTGAAAGAATCCCCAGAATCTGCCTCAAGAAATTTAATTTGTTCAAGAGATTCAGGAACATTTTCTATCCAAGAAACCAGCCAAGGCCACCTGCTTAATACACAATTACTCACTTCTGGAGAGTTCAATCCTAGACGCAAAACCCACCAATCCACCAAATAAAAACACCAAATCCCAGACAGTAAACCAAAAAAAAACGCCCCCCCGCCCTCCCAAGGCCTCCACAATTACCTTGCAATACTTGCTTATGTATGCCTAGCAAAAGCAGATCACTATGTTTACAATTCAAGTCAGAAGAGAGAACCACCTGAACGCATGCTGCAGCACTAAGAATAATGCAGATCGCTTCAACAGTGACATCTCAAAAATGGTTAGCCTGATACTTCAGACAAAAAAAGTAAATACAAGTAACAGAATGGAATCAAAGTGAAAGAGACAAATTTTAAAATCCATTTTGAAGGACTTTAACCCTTGCTCTTCTATAACACTAAATTAGATCCTTGGGTTTCATGTCAACCATCTCTTACCAGCTGTGCTTTCAAGGTTGAAAAGCCAAATGTTACCAGTAAGTGAAAAACTGTTAAATTTAGTCTCAAAATCTGCAATACTCTTTTCTTTCTACAACACAAATTATGTACTATTTTCATTGTGTATGAAGCAACCAGCATGCCACAGCCAAATCTTGTAATCTTATTTATATTGCCCAAGATGAAAAAAAAAATTAAAATATCAGTTACAAGAAGTACATTTACTTCCTGCAAATTTTACTAAAACTGCATCCTTCTGAACAGATCTATATTGTTTGTATACAATCATGTGACAGATTAAAATCTCAATGTTAAATGGTTTTACTTACTTGTATTTTTTTGAGTTCTTCACTAAAGGGATCCTTGACTGTCAAGAAAAAAAGAAAAAAAATTAATTCACTCTAGGGTCTGAAAACACTAAAAAGGTATACCAACATTGTAGCTTTATGACAACACTGCAATAGTTAAGATAAAAACAAGGTCCATAATAAGACAAATAACAGAGACATCTATTAACCTTTGCCCTAACTCTGCATTTGATAATGCAGTATAGTAACATTTAGGCTATAGTAGATTTTTTTATGTCAACAAATTTCACAGCTATTTCCTTAAAACAAAATTGTACTTGCCATTTGCTGAACTCTTGCTTTATAACTCAATTGCTTTGAAATAATTTGAAGGTTTTACATTTTAGTGAACAATTTAAAAAAGGAAAACCTCTCTTTTACTCACCACTAATACATACAACAAAGCTCTACAACTCAGCATGTTCTTTTAACAAGAGTGAGATGACACACTGAGAGCTCATGCACTCCCATGCATATAGGTATCCACAAAATATCAAGAGTTGCCCATCCAAGAGTAGATTGATTGACAACATCTTGACTGCTGATCCACAACCATGCTCAAACTGGTCAGAGTTATATTTATAATTTAGTTACAAACAGGAAATATAAGAGAAATATAAAGGTTGACATATTAGATCAAATTCATGGCTAGATTTCTCATTTAGGAGAAATGGAGGATACAAAAGAAACTAAGGACCAACTTATAAAACAGGGTTCCCAACCTTAGTCAAGTGTAAGTGAATATGGATAAGAAACAAAAAAATATTTTTCTAAGAAAAAAACCTTATTATTTGTAAAAGAATGTGATTTTTATTATCTGCATGAACTTCAGTAGCACTCTTGTCAGCAGACAAATGTTGATCTGTTTCACCTTAGTTTTGAAAGAAGTTTGAAATAGAAACCATTACCCTTTCTCTGCTCCTACACGTAGCAATGGTTAAGATCCACATTCCTACAGTGACAACCAACAAATGACGTATAAAACAGAGGCACAATGAAAACACTTCCTAAATGAAGAAGGCTTGACTCTCTGCAACTTTGCAAACAAGTTTGTCCATGTGCCTCAGCTCAGAAAAAAATTAAGCATGTGACCAACCCAATAAGTCCTTTGGCTTCTTCTGATACAGCAAATGGAAAAAAAACTAAACCAAACCAAAACCACCCAAACACAGGGACTGGTTTTCACAGACATCCAAATACTGTGTTCAGAGATAAGATTAATTAAAGCTGATACAAGCAGATGCTGAAGACTCTTGCATACCAAGCCCTACAGCATTTCATGATTTCATTCTATAAGTCCAAATTCACAGCCATTGCTTACTGGATTATCAAGCTACAAATTTTAAAGTTGTATGTATTTCATTCATTAACTCAAACACTCGCAGCACACTAAACATTTAATGTAAACAGCCTAAAATAGAATTAAACACCTAGTTTGATTGTTAGTTATCCAGACAAGGATAATTACAGACTCCAGGGTCGATGCTATTCAGCACACATGAAATCTTGATTGAGTAGTGGTTTTAGATTGGAAGGTGGGTACAAACACAAGTTACAAGAGGGTGTAGATTTCAGTACACCTGACTAACATACTTTAGCACTGATGAAAGTCACAAAACAAACACATATGCAACATTTCCGTGCCTGCAAAAACGCAAACTGAAAACTGTCACCTGAAATTCTAGATATGCTAGGGCAGTCCAGAAATTAAGTAGAGGCTATGGTGGTGGTTTGATTTTACTGGGATTGTGATGCTGGGAAAGTCTATCTCACATTTGGGCAACTTCATATTTACATAAATTACACCTTGAATTTGTTAAGCAAGCCAGATGAGATGTCAATGTTTGCCTCTCCTTCACAAATACATAGTGGTTACAATGACCAAGAATACCAATCACCTCTTCAAAAATACCTATCACAAAAATGCAGCAAACCTTAAAACTCCTTATTTTAACTCACACTATAGGATTTCCATGAAATCCCTTTGAAGTTAGTGATTATTATTGTTAACCAAAAACTGAAGTACATTGTATATATGATGCTATTTCGTTTAGCATGACTGGTGCTGTATGAGGCAAGTAAGCAAAATGCAACTGCAGCAATTTATCAGCTGCATATGCAATTACAACTGTTAATCAATCTGCATTTATTTACCACATAACCTCAATTCACTTGAGTTAATAAGGCCACTCCTTAACTTCTTCAGTAATTCCTCTTCTGAATACACCCTTCTTTCTTTTGTCCAGAACCTAACCTCTTACCAAATCCTCCCACATGCTTCAGTCACAGATGCAAAGTTCTCACATACTCCAACATGCCTAAGGTATTTGAATATATTACATCAGCATTCTTGGTTCAAAAGCTTTCTTGACAATTCCTAGAATATGCAACTATATTTGTAAGAGTGATAAATTCTTATTCTACAAAACTAAACATTAAATTAAGAATTAATTATTAATATAATATTTTTTATCTGAACATATATTTCCCAAGGCTCCTCCTCAAAACGGGTTTGAGACCTCTACCATGCAACAGTTGGCCCCCTGGAAAATAGTCTATCAAGCTCCCATTCTAATGGAGTTCAAAGAACAACTTACCATCTACTCATGTTTCAAAGTTAAAACATGTATCCTTGTGCCAGAGGTGAGAGTAATAAATACTATTCAGCCCTTTCGTAACATTCATGCCTTCGCTTCATTCATCACTCTTACACATTTGAGAGTCCTCTTCCTCCTTGCTATAAAAGCCACCTCTGAACCTTTCTGCAGCTCTATGTTCCTCCTAACATTTTAAGGTGACATTTTTAACAGAACCACTGTAATGCCACAATCTATTTCTGCATGTACAGATAATGTGATTTTAGAGATGAAAAAGCAAAATTCCAATGCAACTTTAAGGAGCTGTAAAGCTGCAGCAGCAGAAACAAGAATGATCCCAATTAACCAGTAAGCAGCTCGTTTCTCAGTGTGATGCCACAAAGCATCAAATACCATTCACCCACAGGATTCAGGGACTGTGCACTACGACATATACCTCCAAGGGAGCAGCTTCTGCAGAAACAAGAATGTTTCTCCCTGTAAAATACTTTTCTCCTCCTCATCCACCAAGCCACAAGCAGACTAAATCCAAAAGAGAAGTAGTAACATTTCCAATATCTGTCTTACAAAGATGTGTTCTGTAAGAGGATAACCTAATGCTTTCCATCAGATTTTTTCTCCTATTAAAACAAATACATCAGCTGGATAATGTACTGCTACCAGAGTAAGAAACAATAGTAGAAGCACTGCTATCAGAAAACATGATCTCAAAACAAATTTTCAATAATTTTACAACTCAAGAATTTTCAATGTCAGCTAACAGACCTGTAACTTTTTCTAACTCTAGGATCAAGGTCTGACTTCACCCAGTGACATACCATGTACATGTCAAGAATAATTCTAAAACATTGTTTCTCTGAACTCCTAAACCTTAAAATGCCAGAAAAATACCAAACAGACAAGTTATTGCTTGAAATGTTATTCCAGAGCTCCATATTTCAAACTTCTTAAATAAAATAATCCTGTCTTTATTTTCCTGTCTGCAATTATTCAATGCTCAAAACAGACAAGCAGTTTTGCATTACCTTCCAGCTCCATATTTCTCTAACTCAGGTAGAAACCATTTCGAACCAGTAGGCTAAATCTCTCTGCTTTGACATTAAGACATCAAGTCATACAGCAATTCCTTCTATATGGATCATCTTTGTGCGCTTTGGAAATGGTTTTTGTATTTCTACTCCATTCTGAGTACCCCATTACAGTTTGAATACTCCTTGGCTGTGTCAATATTGAAGAGCAGCATAATGTGCCCCAAGGATTAGCGAGCTCTACAAATGGCTGAACCTTTCCTTAACATCTAGTCACTTTTTCAACTGGCTCAGTTTAAAGCTCTTTTATTGATCATTTTTCCAGCCAATATAATTTTAATTCATTCTATTTCTGAGTAAGTGATGTAACGATTGACAACATAACCAACAATTTCATGTTGTTCCCTTCTACCAACAAAGCCCCCTTCCAAAAGAATTAAAAATCATATTTGTGATACATGCTTCAGACACATTTTCTATCAGCTCTGAAAATAAGAGTCTTCATTATTTTAGGTAAAATGATATGACCTACCAGAATTTCTTTTTGGAGTTTTCACTACTTAAACAAAAAATAAAAAGCCCAAAAAATTACAACAAAATAACCATCTCCTTTGTTTAGCTGTATCACCCTTTCTAGAAAGGTTCAAATCTACTCCTGCTACTTAAATGCTGGTTAGAAGAGACCTTAATGTTGAAAGGTGCCTTGCAAATCATGTCAATTTAATTCATAATTAAGAAGAGACACAAGTGTTTCTCATCAGATTATTCAGTTTCACTAAATAATAACATTAGTTTCATTGTAGTACTCGTATTAGTGATCAAAAAACCTAAAAATTATAAAAGCTGTCAGTTCTTAAGAATATTTAAGGAAATATTTTTTAGTAACAGTATTTACACACATGCTCTTTTGCATTATATTACAAATAGAAGAAACAGTTGTCTCTGTTCTATTAGGGAAAATGGCCCAAAAGTGCACTTGCCGTGCATTGTAAAAATTAGATTAAAATCACATACACACGGTATTCACCACAGGCTGGTGTCCATACATAGGAAATAAAAAACCCACCACATTAAGACTGCTCTTATAAGCAGTTGCAAAACATCACCAGGAGAAATGTTGGACTTCAGACACATACCAGCATTTTACTATGGAGAGAGAATCAGAATAGGCTTCTGAAATAGCTCTTCTGCATTCTTCTGCACCTCTCCCAAATAATTTTAGCTCCCTACATTTTATAAGGTTAAAAAAATACCCACCACTTCAACAAATGAACTCAAATTTAGAAAAAAGGGGAAACTCCATCTTGAAAGCATAGCAACACAACATGTTTTACGTTAAACTAGGAAGCATTCGGCTTTCCTCAAACTCCAAAGTTCAAAGTGGAAAGCATACTA